TTACCTTGTGTAATGCTGAATATACCAATTATCCTGATGTGAGCATCACATATTGCACACAGGTATGGATATTCAATGCTGTGCCCCACAGATATGTATAATAAATTATTTTTCAGTTTAAAACAAACAAAAAGATTCGAAGAGACGAATGCTTACCAGCTAAAGAGTTGTCTGTTTTAGGACCCAAGTAACCACAGTCTCAATCAAATAAATTCCCATCCCTTCTCTGAAATCTCCGGCATGTATTAAAGACACATTTCAATAATTCTGGAGGGCCAATAAGTTAATTATAATGAAAAAATTTGGTGGTAGAGAAAAATAGCTAAATTTTCTCCCTGTTTAACAAATAAAAGCTATGGCTTTATGGAAAAGCAACGAAAAAACTAGATAAGTATCTGTGGTATGGATTAACAAGAATGCAAAAGGATATTCCAATTTCTATGTCAACATTAATTAGTGCCCCGCTCCAATTTGTTTTAATTTAAATGTAAATTCAAGCGAATTTTATATTTTAGATCCTCTCTATTCTTATTGACAAATAAGATAAGAGGAACATATCAGCAGAGAATAGGTCTTCCCACATGCCAATTAACAGCATGATACTGCATAATTATTATGGGATAAAGATTAAGCAGGTAAAGCTAAAAAGCCCTAATGGAAACATATTCAGATAAGGAATAGAAGATCAGAGTGATATGGAAACAGACATATCCTCACTAAAGTCTAAACTTCCTACACTTCTCGGTGACTTTGATCCAATAAACATTTACTGAGCAGTTTTCCAGGCGATGCTAGGTACAGGGGACAGGAATAGGAAGACACAATCACGATCCCATCTTTCAGGTTATTGGTATTCTCTGGATATAAATATGACACTACAGTTACATATTTACATAAAGCTTATCCTGCCCTGTCTAATATGAAGTTTCGAGCCACAAGTGCCCATTTAAATTAAATTCATACTAGCCATATTACAAATGGTCATTTCAAACTAGCCACATTTCAAATGCTCCATAGTCACTTGTGGCTAGTGGCTACTACACGTACTGGATACATGCATCATCAAATACAGACACAGATATCTATACGCAGACCTCTCTACAGACATGTAGAGAGACAACATTTGGATCATCATAAAAAGTTCTATTAGGCAGTGCTACATAGAGTCTGCTCAGATGCTAAAGGATTGGTCTCCATCACTTACTGATCCTATGACACTAGGGAAACCATCTAGTTACCTGTGAGTCTGTTTGCTTTGCCATGGACACAGCCAAAATGTCCATCAATAGAAGAATGGCTAAATAAATTATGACCTATCCATACAATGGAATGCTAATGGAGCAGATGAAAAGCCAAGCTAAATCCATACGTACTGGCACAGAGATCTCTACAATCTAATACTGATAGGAATAAAGCAGGTTGAGTTAAGAAATATCCAATGAGATACAATTTGTGTAAAACACACATACTGAAATCTACCACTGTTTTCTACAGACTTATTTCTAAATATACAAATATATAGAAAAACATATTGACTAAAGAGATAAAAGACATGGAATAGAGGTGGCAGGGTGTCTTCCACGGATTAGGAATATTTTCACAAGTCAAAACTTAGAGCATGTCTGGTGAACTAGCACAACCTCTCATTTTGAGCTGAGGACATCTATAAATCATAGATCATTGTTTCTCACCCAGGGACAATTTCCCCCCACCTGTTCATAAGTAAAACGTAAAACAAGGTAGCTTAGGGTAAAGTACTCATGTTTTCTTTATTAAGATAAATATGCTAGTAATAATCATTACCCTATTGGTACTGATAAAAGTGCTTTGGGTATTGTAAAACATTATTTATATTTAAGACTTTTTATATCCAAAGGTTCTAGGTTAGACAGGGTATAAAAATAGTTTGTTATGATTCCTAAGTATCTTTTAAAGAAGTTTAAAGCCTACAGAGGCAAGCAAACACAGTTGTTACCTTTGGAGAGCAATCTGTGATCAGTCAAGAGTCAATTCTCCACTATGCTAAAACTTGCTTATGGGCCAGCCCATCAGCGGAGATGAAAATAAGAGATCCAGTCCCTATCCTCTAGAGTTTGCATACCAACAAGAAGGCAGGTATTTAGCAAGCATTTACAACAAAAGGGGATGAATATCATGACCTGGAAGTACAGGGAGATACAAGAACATATAGGAGATGAAAGGGGTGTAGGAATGAAGTAGACCAAATGTGTGTCATGAGGAGGAGAAAGGCTTTGATTCAGGCAAAAGACATAGACAAGTGCAGAGATGAAAGGGAACACAAAGATCTTCAGTTTGCCTGGGATACTGTGGTTGAAAAGGAGGACTGAGACAGAGCCAGATCATGCAGGGCTTTGTAACCCGTAGTGAAGAAACAGGAGTTTATCTTAAAGATGATGGAAAGTCACTTTTTCAGTGGTTTTCAGCATGGAAATGACACGATCAGTTCCATTTTTGTAGAAGGATCATTCTGGCTACAGAATAGAAAATGGAAGAGTAGGAGTAGAAAGCTCAGCAAGAAGTAATGTTGAGCCCTCGACCTTGGAGGTAGCAGTGGGATGGAGAAAGGTGGACTGACTTGAGAGAGGGGAAAGACAGAATGGGTGTGATTTGGATTCAATTAATGCAAAAGATAAATATACTGTCCCGTCTGGGGTATAGGAATTCAGCAAATTTTTTAAATGCCATTTTTTTGAATGTTAAAGATCATCTTTTGTTTAAATAAGTCCATAATACTTTATCAATAATCCCCAATTCCAAAAAGCTCTGAAAATAGAAAGCTTTTCTGTAAGATGGCAGCAAAACCTGACTTGAATTAACATGAGGTTCTTCATCTTGCCTTATCCCACTCTGCAAGAATATTCATATTTTCTTGTAGAAATATTAATATCTATATTTATGGGGTACAAGAGGAGAACACATTCACTTTGTTAGGTAATAATATATGCACTGTTACCCTTATAAAATCTGAACAAAAGCTGAATTCAGCAACACATTTGGCCCTGGGGGTTTTGATAAGGAATTGTAGGTGGGAAATTATCCGCTTCCACTTTCCTGCTCTAAAATTGGCTGAGATGGTGTTGATACATACACTGTGACCATACAGCCCATAAATTTGTGTATGTCTACTTGTGTGCTTGGTAAGGGAGGTGGGATGTGGGTAAGTCAGTTACTGTTGTTGACTGTGCAATGAGATCTGGCGAACAGAGTGTGTGTGTGTTTTAACTGCTGACCTTTACACATGCATCAATTGAGACTGGGTATGTTCATTTTCAGGGAGGTTTTCATGCCACTGCAGAGCAACTGCTACAGGGCTAACCACATGTATTTATTCCTCTGGGGACTGATACTTGTTTTAACAAGGTGTCAGCTGGAAGAAGCCAGGGGCATCAAAAGGAATCAATTCCAGGCCTCTACCTACAACCATCAACATTCGTTTTTTTTTTTAACCCTTGGCACAGTACTCTGCAGGGGG